CTTAATAGTTTTTCTCGAATGTCCTCTCATGAAACACAGGATTTGATGCAATGTGAACTGCTGCTTGATTATCACAGAACAATGGAGTAGGAGCTTCAACTGTCAACCCAAGTTCTTTTAGAAAATGTTGTATCCATGTCAACTCACTAGTGGTATGAGCCATTGCCCTATACTCAGCTTCAGCACTAGATCGAGCTATCACCGTTTGCTTTTTACTTCGCCATGTAACGAGATTTCCTCCTACAAATGTGCAGTATCCTGTAGTAGATCTCCTAACTAAAGGAGAACCAGCCCAGTCAGCATTTGTAAAACCTTCCACCCTGAGATGACCATTTGATTTATATAGTAACCCTAAACCTGGAGCTTGCTTGAGATATCAGATAATCCGAAGAATAGCAATCCAATGTGGCATTCTAGGGACTCCCATGAACTAACTTACAACACTAACTGCATATGAAATGTCAGGTCGAGTGATAGTGAGATAAATTAATTTCCCAACAAGGCGACGAAATCTGCCCGGGTCATTAAATAGATCACCCTCATCAGACACAAGTGTTATTTTTGAATCCATAAGAGCATCAACCGGACGACCACCCAACATACCTGTTTCTTCTAATAAGTCCAACACATATTTCCGTTGGAATAAACTTATACCCTTCTTGGATCTAGCAACTTCAATACCCAAGAAATACCTAAATTTACCCAAGTCTTTAGTGTGGAATCAATATTGCAGAAACAACTTCAACTTAGCAATGCCTTCAAAATCATCACCTGTGATCACAATATCATCCACATAGACCACAAGAAATATGAAGCCAGCTTTAGTGTGCTGGTGAAACACCGAATGGTCGGTCTGACATCTGTTAAGACCAAATTTTAATGCCACCTCAGAGAATTTCCCAAACCAAGCCCGTGGAGATTGTTTCAATCCATACAGGGCCTTTTTAAGGCGACAAAATGTGGAGATTTGCCATCTAATACAAATGACGGCATACAGTTAATAAGCTGACAGGCAGTAAGAACAGCATCACCCCAAAACCGTTTAGGCATACGCATATGAAACAAAAGAGCACGAGTTACTTCTAAGAGATGTCGATTCTTACGTTCTGCAACTCCATTTTGTTGAGGAGTATAAACACATGAATTTTGATGAATAATTCCTTTATCACTAAGATATGTATCAAATGGAGTTGAAGAATATTCCTTAGCATTATCAGAACGTAGAATACGAATTGGACATCCAAACTGAGTTTTGATTTCTTTGCGAAATTTTTGAAAAATTAAAAACAACTCAGAACGATGTTTCATTAGAAACAACCAAATCAGGCAAGAATAATCATCCACAAATGTCACAAAATAATGAAATTTATTGATTGAAGAATGTTTTATTGGACCCCATACATCTGAATGAAACAAATGAAAAGGACTAGAGACACGATTATTAACCCTAGACTTGAAAGACATGCGATGGTACTTACTAAGTTGACAAACTTCACATGACAAGAATTTCAAATGACTAAGACTAGGAACTTGACACTTCAAAACTTGAAGTGACGGGTGACCAAGTCGACAATGCCACTGGAATGGAGACAGAGAAGACTGAAGAGCCACAGGATAAGGGTCGAAATCAAAATAATATAAGCCACCAACTTCATGTCCCGTACCAATCTTCTTCTTCGTCTTGAGATCCTAAAACACACAAGAAGTAGGATTAAATGTAACAAAGCACTGGAGAGATTTAGTAAGCTTACTAATAGACATTAAATTAAAGGGAAACTGCGGAACATGTAAAACGGACAAGAGAGACAATGAATCACTAAGTTGAGTTGTCCTCAAACCTGAAACCTGAGTGGATGAACCATTAGCAAGAGTAACTCCTTGAGAAGGAGAAACAAAATGAAAATCAGATAGAAGAGAAGAACATCCGGTCATATGATCAGATGCTCCAGTGTCTATGATCCAAGGTCTGCGAGTGGAAGACAATAGACATGTGTGTGCAATACCTGACTGGGCAAAGGTAGCTGTGGAAGATGAATTAGATGCTTGCTTATAAGACAAAAACTGAGTATACTCATCCCGTGGAACAGGGACCGTATCTGATTCAGCCACATTGTGAGATCCAGAAGCAACATCATTCGGAGAAGAGGAAACTTGATTTGCATAACTAGATGGTTTCCCATGAAGGTCCCAACAAAAGTTCACAATATAATTAGAAAGACCACAATGAGTACATTTTCTTAATTCCCTGCCACGGCCACGTCCTCCTCGTGAATCACGACCAGCACGGGTGGAGAGTCCCCCACGACCTCCACGGTAAGCATTATGTTCACCCTTTGAAACTACCAATGCTGAATGCTCACTACTCTGTCTAGCATTCAAATTTGATGTATCATTTGCTAGTGTAGCACGCTGAAGGCAAGAAAACACCTCAGCAAGAGAGGGAAGTGTTGGACTGCCCATAATCTGTGCACGAAAAGGCTCATATGCTGATGATAAACTAGTAAGAAAACGGACAACATTAAAGTCCGCACGCTGTTGTTGCATACTGCGAACATCAGCAGTAATGGGCTGATACATATTCAGCTCTTCACAGACTCCCATAACTTAGGAATAATACTCTTCTATACTTTGAGTACCTTGTTCAAGATTGAAGTACTGCTTACAGAGTTCATAGACACGAGTAATATTACCTGTCCTAGAATACAATTGCTGCAATTTGTCCCATATCTCCTTGACAGTATCCAAATAAAGTAACGTTGAATTAATTTGGGGTTCCATGCTGTTTATCATCATAGAGAAGATCTGCGCATCTTCCTTTTCCCATGCATCAAAAGAAACATCAGTTGCCTTGAGTTTCTCTTTAGTCAGATGAGTACCAAGACCTCTGCCTTTGAGAAAAATGGCAACAGATTTAGCCCACAGTATGTAATTCTTCCCATTGAGTTTAACTGAAGTCATGGGAGAATGAAGACTGTTCGTGGGAGAAAGCAAATCTGAACTGGATGCCATGTTGAATCTAGCAAAACAGAGAAGAAAGAAAAAAAAAAAAATAGCAGAATCTGTATTCTGGCCGAACCTGGAAAACGGGCCGGATCTGGTCAAACGGGCCGGATCTAAGCTATCCCAGGTTTAGTAAACCAGGGTTGGAATAGCTATATCCGTGTAGCCAAACATGGGTCTTCTTCTTCACACCTTCACAGACGCCGGTGAACAACGCAGTGGAGACGACGGCAACCCACTCACAATCAACGGCCGAATCAATAAGCAGCGATCGCAAACCGAGACTGTAGATGTCGACGAATCAAAAGGATGAACCTCACCTCTGCAAATCGAGACTATCGATGTCAGCGAGATCGCTGAAAAACAAAGAGGAGCTGTTGGTGATGACGAACAAGGCAAATACGACGACAACCAAGCTGACGACGACGGTGAACAAGCTGAAGACGACGATCGAGGCTGTAGATCTGACGACAACGCTGAATGATCTTCAGATCTGACGACGAACAAGGAACTTCCAAAACCACCAACACCACAATCGCGATGCCGATCTCATACAATAACAATCCAATTACAGACTCTCACACCCATGATCGCAGCACTCTGATACCATGTTCATAATCATATGAGAGAGAGAGAGATTGTATCTTGTATATTCAACATAACAGACCTAATAAGCCTATGCAGGCTTATATAATGATTACAAGTCTTACTTAATAACACAAGGGCCCTATCAACTTTCTGTAATTACATAATGACCCAACACTTATATATATAACATTCTAACACACGTAAAATCGTGCGTTTATAAAAATCTGTTACTAGTTAAAAACTGAACAAAATCTATTCACCCCCCTCTACCTCTACTTTGGATATTTGCACAGCTTGACATATCAAAGCCTGTTATTTCTTTAATTTTTATGAGAGCGTATCATTGTGAGTTTCTAAGGTCAGATAAAAGATCTCACTTCATATGCAGACTTCAAACCACATGTAAGGCCTAACATCATAACATTGTCCCTAGCATCTGGGAGCAACTAACCAAGTGCATGAGAATGTAAAGCCCCAAATATCACCAAGCATTCAGTCATGCTTACTACTTGAAATTTAAAATGTCTAGTATGTATAAAACTATTGATGTCAAAATTCAAAATTCCACATGTATCATGCACCATACACGGAATAAGTTGCTTCAAACAACCAAAGGGCCAGTGGCCTAGCGGTATCGGCCTCTTACCCTCCAAATGGAGGTCAGGGGTTCAAGTCTCAGAAGAGACATGTGTGTGTGAGTACCAACTAGAAAAAAAAAAAAGAAAAAAAAGGGAAGAAGAAAGTTGCTTCAAACAAGAAAATATTTAAGTGTTACATTCCCATTTTGTCCAACATAATTTTAGACAACACATTCAATTGATGACTTAGGCCTAACTGTCTGAGGTTTATAGAACTTTATAGGCAATAATAAAATAAATAAATACCAGATGCAGCTGAATTTACATCAAAATTGAAAATCAAAACTGTGGCACTAATTTCTACATTGATTAGGCAAGAAAAAAGGCATTTGAGTCAGATATAAGGTCCGATAAAGATCTCACTTGATGTGAAGACTTCAAACCACACGTAAGAGCTGATATGATAAATGGCATTATAATGCTGTCCCTAGACTTGTGGCAAGTATTCAAGTGCATGAGAATATAGCATGAAAATTACCTTCCATAAAATCGTACTGAATATTTGAGATTTAAAATCTCTAGAATAAGGATAAATCAATGTGATGATATGAACTCCAACGTGCATTATACCGAAAATGTTGCTTCAAAAATTAATTTTTTTAAGTGTTACAATGACTAGTTTGGCACAAATAAATGATAAGTCAAAACTATGCACTAAAATTAAGGCTGCTTACCAACAAAGAGGAATACTTTCTATTTAATAATATTTATCTCCGTTTCTTATATAAAGAAAATTTAAAGGTTTTTTTTTTTTAATGATATGAGATCACTTACAAAATGTGAAAACTTCTTATTGCTAAAAAGTCTGAAGTCAACAGGAGCTTGCTCCAGAAAAAGTTCCACATAATGCAGCAAGAAGAGGCCACAATCAAAACAGTTCTCCTGCTGCGGTAGCTGAACCAAAATGAGAAGTGAGAAAGTCAGGAGACCACTCACCCATATAACAAAGAAAGGGGATCAGGCAAAGTCAACACGACAGGGAAATATAGGAAGGGTGGCTTAATTCTTATTTCATCATACTGTACATTTGAGGGTACAGAATATAACTATAAAAAATATAATTATTATGGCATTAAGCTTCTTTACATTACAAAACTGACGGCTATGAGAACCATTGAAAAGGAAAATAAAGTTGTTTAGGTATTTAACATTAAAACAACATCTATGTGATACAAATAAAATCACTGCAAATAGAAAGTATATTAGACCCGAACCTTTTTTTTTTCCAAGTGACCCAAACCTTCCTTCCACACAACACTGTCCACTTGAATAATAAATGGGGACCATATATGCACATATTCACTAAATTAAAACTTGGCATGACATGACATGACTGAGTTGGTCGAGTCGTAGCTAGGATCGAGACAGTGTTGTAACTATATCTAGGGAGATAATTTTGCAGGCATCTTGTGCCGACCAGGCAAGACAGCCACATCACGCCTGTGACATGGCTGTATCACCGGAGTCAGCCCAAGACAATTGTCATTTCGGGCACTGGAGTTCAAATTACCCAGTTTTCTACTTCCTTATTTCTTCCCATTCCAAAGGGAGAAAATGACTCTCCAAGCTCCAACAGTCCTCCAAACATTAGATCTATGAATATAAAAGCTAAAAACTCATAATGTAGCCATAAATCTGCAATCTAAGCTTTCAATCTTGAGAATAGTCAGTCAGTGTCATTTGATATGTTATTTGATAGCTCAATGCAATAATTAATTTTGAATAAATTAAAAAATTATTCCATTAAATGCATTTGATAATGAAATATGAATATCACTTACAAGAGTACGTGCCACTAAAAATGTGTTAAAATTTTAAGTGATAAAGACTTCACTTGTCACTAAACACTTCAATTTTAAAAATATCACATAAAATTTTCAGTTTATAATCAATACTCAAAATTTAGTTTTAACATTTTCAGAGCTTAATTTTCAATTGTATAAGGAGATCCATTAAAATTTTGATTGAGTCTTGGCGAGGTTGTATAGTGGGGGCCCAAGTCGGTGATTTTTGGAGGGTTACGCCTCTTTGCGTCTAGTGGTGTTTATGGCTTGAAAGAGATAGGAGATCCATAGAAGGAAAGGAGACTCCTATGGGGGAGTTGAAGTTCTCTATTATTAACACACTTTTTTGTTGGGTTATAGGGAGATATTGTAAATCCATGGAGGAGATAGTTGACTTTTTGGACTCTTTGAGAGTTTAGAAGCCCTATTAGGCCTTGTGTATTTTCTGAGGGATGCATTCCCCTTTTGAATGCTTCTTTTATAAAATCTTTACTTGTGAAAAAATAAAAAAATATGCTTGCAACTATGGAAGAATAGGAATGAAAAGCAGTTCAATAAGAATGGTGGTACTCCTTTAGCTGTTTTGAGTAAAGCACTTGAGTACTTTCATGAGCATTGGGATATTACTATAAAAGATAAGGAGTTGGAAATGAAAATGATTGTTCCTAGATCAGTGGCTGACACATGAAGTCCTCCAAAATGTGGTGCTTTCAAATTTAATATTGATGCTTCTTTTCAAATGGAAACAATTGAGCGTGGTTGTGGTGACATTCTCAGGGATTATAGATTATATCCAGTGAGCTTATAATGTGATGTGTGTGTGTGAGCAGAAGGTGATTGCCAGTCACTTACGGAATTGAATTTGAATCCCACTGACGCTCTTGCTGCTGTTATTTGTGAGGAAGTCACTTTTATGCTTATGGGTGCTACTGCTGTGAGCTTGTTATGCCTAAAAAATGCAATATGGTAGCTGATTGTATTAGTAGATGGGCTCTTAATAAAAGGGTTGGGGACTGTGAGTGGAACATTTGTCCTTTATGGTTAAAGAATTGTATCGAGACTGATTGTACTTATGTTTCTACCATTGAATACAAATGAATTGTTCTGGGAAATATATATATATATATATATTTCTGATGTGCGTTAAAAATTTCAAATCATAAGCCTGAATCGTCCATTAAATAAAATGAATATGTACAATTCAAACAGCAAATATTTATTTTTATTTTAAATGGGGTAAATTGCACACCCCCCCCCCCCCCCCCCCCCCCCCCGCCAAGGTTTGGGTTAAAGACAGGTAGCTACAACTTAGGCAGTTCTTGGACAAGTACACCCCCCAAGTTTGGTAAATTGAACAACGACACCCCAAATCAAGGTAAAAGTGCCTTATTGCCCTTTGACTTATGAATTGACTTATTTGAATTATGAATTTACCATTTTAACCTTCTCAATAATAAATATAGTTAATAAGGTAAATAAATATAGTTAAAAATGCCCCCACTCAATTTGTAAAAATATCCCACTTAACATTCTTGCCCCCATTGACATTTTCTTTTTTTGATCTAAAAGATAATCTTCTCTCTTTTTCACTCTCTACTCCCCCACATTTATGATAATCAATTCTCTCTCTCACTCTCTCATATTCTCACTCAATTTTTGAAAGTACCCACTATATATTCACGCATCCATTGACATTTTTAGTTAAAAAGAAAGTAAAGTAAATCGGTTCTCTTGTTGGACATCAACGGTGCCCCCACTCAAAAAAAGTCAATTCCATTAAAATGTTTTGAGAAGGTTAAAATGGTAAATTCATAATTCAAATAAGTAAGGGCAATAAGGTACTTTTACCTTGATTTGGGGGTGTCATTGTTCAATTTAACCAAACTTGGGGGTGTCATTGTCCAAAAAGTGCCTAAGTTGTAGCTACCAATCTTTAACCCAAACTTGAAGGGGGTGAGTGCAATTTACCCTTTAAAATGAGAACAAAAGGATTCACTATGATCTCAAAGAAGAAGACAGGAAATACCTCAAGAGAGACAAACTGTAAATTCAAGAATTTTAAGGAAACATCTTCAACTGATTCCCTTTGCCTCTCTTTCCACTCTTCCCATAGATAACTGCCATCTCATAACAATACATGAAGGCTATTAGATTTACCATGAACATATGAAAGCATAAGGAGAAAAACTAACTTCGGAGAAGTAAAAAAGCAATAAAAATTTAAGGGAATTGATCAGAAATATATATATATATATATATATATATATATTTTTTCGTGAACCTACAAGTGAAACTATATACATAAAATTAACAAAAGAGTAAGCAATAAGACATCATGAATTTATTTTTTTCCATTGGCAAGAAACTCACACACACCACTCACACACCCACTTTGCCCGCTTTGGGGACTCGAACCCTCACCATCCACTTTGGGAGGTAGAGGAGATACCATTAGGCCACATGGCCCTTGGTGTAAGGCATCATGAATATATTTCCATAACAAAAACTCTCATATTGATGTCAAATTTGTTTGATCAAACTATATTTACTTTTTAAAAAGGAAAGACATGAAGTGGTAAGGCCATGTTTATAACCTAATTTTTAATAACTTTGGCAAGTTCCGACACTAGTTGTTAAGATACTGTATAGAAGTGTAGAAATTCTCTGTTTAAAATATTCTGCCTCATATATTAACATTAACATCTTGTACTGCAATCAACCTGTCCTAATTTAAAGCAATCAATCTATCCTATTTTACTGCAATCAATCTGTCCTACAATCTTGTTCTAATTTACAATAGTCAGATCAAATCCATAAAATCAAGGAAAATAATATATATCTTCCAACACTCCCCCTCAAGCTGAAGCATAGATGTCTCGAATGCCCGGCTTGTCAAGTGCCAAATTGAAAGTAGTACTTGACACTCCCTTTGTCAAAAAATCTGCAAGCTCATGTTCTGTCTTCACAAATGGAGTGCAAATTAATCCACCTATCAACTTCTCCTTGATAAAGTGTCTATCCACTTCAACATGTTTAGTACGATCATACTGAACTGTGTTGTGAGCAATGTTAATGGCAGCTTTGTTATCACAGAAAAACTTCATTGGATCCCTAGAATTAAAATTCAGCTCCTTTAACAAAGCCTTCAGCCACAACATCTCGCATATACCATGAGCCATGGCTCTAAATTCTGCTTCAGCACTGGATGTGGCCACAACAGATTGTTTCTTACTACGCCACGTGACTAGATTCCCTCCCACAAAGGTGCAGTATCCTGAAGTTGATCTTCTATCTATTACATATCCTGCCTGATCAACATCTGTATATCCTTCCACTTCGAGATGACCATGGTTGGAGAATAGCAGACCTTTCCCAGGAGCTGATTTTAAATACCAGAGAATCCTGTGTACAGCCAACATGTGTGTTTCGTAAGGAGCATGCATGAACTGACTTACTACACTCACCGCATAGGCTATGTCAGGCCGAGTATGTGCCAAATATATTAGCTTCCCAACCAACCTTTGGTATCTCTCTGTCTATAGGTGTATCATTTGTGCATTCACCTAACCTCTGATTTTGTTCAATTGGAGTATCAACAGGTTTGCAAGCCAACATTCCAGTCTCAGCCAACAAGTCTAAGACATATTTTCATCGGGAAACAAAGATCCCCTTCTTTGACCTAGCAACTTCAATACCCAAAAAATATCCTAAAGACCCAAGGTCTATTATCTCAAATTCTTTTGCCAGATATGCTTTCAGCTTACCCAAAATCAGAATTGAACAATATTGCTATTTCATGATGATTTGGTGATGATGCTGGCTTTTGGCTAAGAGAAATTACTCCCTATATACATTGGTTTGTGAAGACCTACACAATAATGAGTTCCAGAAAATTTCTCTCTTTGAGAAGTTGAATAAATGCCCCATCCGTAAAAACATATTCGGGATGGATTGGCTATTCCTACTGCAACATCTAAGGAGGAAAAGGAGGCAATAGTAATAGCTCTTTGCCTGAATGATGAAGAAAGCAAGTAGAGGCAGAACCTCAAAGACAGATGAATTACAATTTATATGTTCTATGCTCCTTCCTCTTTTGTTACCTTCATCACTGCTAAAGTGATGAAGCCAGGCGTCATCTTTTATTGTTTCATTTCCTCCAAACCGAAAACCTGAATCATTGAATCAGCTGCCTTTTGATCATGTGTCTACCATGGACAAAGTCAAAATCTGAAATGGATCACAATCATTTACATTTTATAGGTTGACTAATCAGATTTTTGCAAGGACTCAGCCGAGTTCCAATCAACTTTATCTTATCATTTTCGCACTGAAGGCTCCCAAGTAATATCTTGTCCTGCTATTGAGGCATGAAAAACTCATAAATTGGCCAATCCAGTAGTCTAGTAGTCTACTCGGTCATTTTCTTACAGACTGTCAGGAATTCAGTTGCGTAGGCAAATTACTAAGATGTTATCACCGAGGAAAAGGTAACTAATGACCTAGTAGACAGGCCTCTAGGTTGGTTAATTTATTAGCAAAGGCGACAATGATGTCGAAACCTTCCATGACATTGACAACGACAATGTAGAAGGGAAGAAGCTGAAGTCGAAGGTTTTTGTCATTGTCGTCATTGTCGCCATGATGAAAATCGATGCCTCTGATCTTGCTGCTCTCCTCAATGATATAACGGTGACTTTATAATTCTCTCTCTCTCTCTCTTTATATATATATACACACACGCACACACACATACATATATGCTGTATCAATTTGATTTAGTAGACTCTAATCTATTGTTTGTAAACCTTAGCCAATTCAGGTAATATTACATGTGTGGCTCAATCCCCTCAATCCTGGGTCATTGACTCCAGAGATAGCTCGCATATAACAAAAGATCATGATGTAAATGGGTTCGTCAGTTCATAATTCTCTCTCTCTCTCTCTCTCTCTCTCTCTCTATATATATATATATATATAGTATCATTTTGGTGAGTTCATAATTCTCTCTCTCTATATATATACTGTATCATTTTGATGTGTACATAATGATGATACGATTTAGAATTGAAGAACTTGACACTTGAGTTTGGTTGTTTTCATTGTTCTTCATTCTTCATCTTAATCAGAGAGAGAGAGAGAGAGAGAGAGAGGAGTTGATGGTGGTGGTAGATATAGAGCGGGGTGAGGCGCTGATGTAGTCATGTATACATAAGGGAAATTTCAGGTTTTCAGTATGAAATTATGTCATAAATGACATTTAACGGCTAATTACTAACGGTGAAAAGATGGAGGGGCAATTTGCAGATATTTTTAAAATGTTGAGGGGGCACATACTAAATAGGTAGGGTGTTTTGTGAACAATTTTTATATAACGGGGGTTTCTTGCACTTTACTCTCTTTTTTTCAATAAGTTTTTCATAATAATGTCAACGAAGATCTCGATAATTACATATATAAATGGTTACATAATTTTTTTCCATTAACTATCTGGTTTCATATTTATGTCGAAGATGATCTCTCGCCTGTCTTTCGGGGGTGGAGAGGCAGCTAATGCTATTGGATTTCAAATGCTGCAAACAGGAATCCTCCTTTCTTTTTGTTTTGTGTACCGGGGGGAGAGGGAATTGAGGGCACTGAAAGAAGGCCCATATTAGGCTCCTTAAGATCCACAATGGACTTCAGGGCAGTAGAATTGTGATAGCATATAAACATTGGTTTACCTTTGAATAAGATTCTTGAGGCCTCTGTGGCTTCCTTTCATAGAATCCATGTGCAAAATGCATGGTACCTTGGATGACTTTCCAATTTCTTCACCTGCAGAGTAGTTGCTGAAAATTAAGTGACAATAATTATAACACATAAAATAAACAATAACTGACTATCAGATGAGTTTTTTGCCTTCAAAATCAGCCACTTCCCCAGGATGACAGATTACAATCAAACTCCAATGGAGACTGTCATCAAAATAAAGAATCCATGTCTGAGAAAAGTAACATAAAGGAGAAATCTCCAACATAAAAAGTGCCACATAACTTCTTTCTTACCTGAAGTTTACTGGGATAAAAATGTAATCCTTTTGAAAAAGATTCACTTTCCTCGTCCACTTGCAAACACGTTGAAAAGCTTCCCTGACTTCACAAGCTCTAGATGGATCTTCTGGATCAGCCAGCTTCCGAAAGAAAAAACTACTAAAAAAATGAAACCTATGCTTTTCCTCAGGTTTGATTTTGTTCTTTAAATATCTGCCAATCAGTCAGATTTTATATAAATTACTGCAAGTGGAATGTTAAAATTGGAACTGCAACAAAAAGATAAAGTATCAAACCTGTATTAGAATGCATTACAGAAAACTGCCGAGTGCAACAAATTAATAAAAGATGTTCAGTATTGCAGTGCTTCAAACATGCATGAAACCAAGGAACAGCTGCATAAATCATTTATAACTTAACAAAGATGTTACAAAGTTGGTTGATTCCTATTGCAATTTCCTGGGGTACTATTTAACTTCACATGAAAGATTAGAAGTTCTTGACATTTTATCCACCAAATCCCAACTAAAATGGCAGTCAACTTCATATGTAACAGCCATCCACCAGAAGCAATGTTACTTGAAATGTATACTGCAGATTCATTATCACAATACAAACCCACACAATCAGCATTAAGGAAAACAAACGTCAAGATATATGCTGACATGGAAACATCTTACAGACTGTGGAACCATGACATTTCACTTTATAGTCATCTTTAATATTAAATATGCAATCACTTATCAAAAAAATAAAATAAAAATTATGCAATCACATTATGTTACTTTTCCCAGTAAAAAGTCATTCTAAGATTCAGTCTCTAGATTAGCACCACATGAGAGTTATTTTATTGGAAGTATATGAGCAAAGTTCGACAGTGGAGACTTCATCAAGATTCAATGAATGGAGCAATCTCGAGATGGCTCAGGAAATTTCGAGATGGTGTGTGTTGTGTGGCACAATGTATTGAATGAAAGAAATGGAAAAAAGGTATCCTGTGGTTGGTTGTGGTGTGTTGGCACATTAGATTTGCTGTTGTTTAAGGCAGTGAAACACTTATACATATGCGTGTGTTGAGTGATTGAAGAAATGAGTCGAGTGGAGAGCTGTGAGTGAAGACATAGAGTGAACGACAGACAGGAGAAAAGAGACGAGAGACACAGAAAAAAAGGGAGAAATTAGTGAGGGCCAAGAGTGAGTGTATTCATTTTTTAGAAGAGTGTGCTCTCTTCTAATAAGTGTGAGTGTGGCATACTGTAGAAATTCTCTCTGTAAAATATTTTGCCTAATATATTAACATTAACATCTTGTACAAGTATATATAGGAAAGAGGGAAAGTTATACAAGGAAAAGAATAAATATTCCTACAAATCTGTTCCTAATTTAAAGCAATCAATCTATCCTATTTAACTACACTCAATATGTCCTACAATCTTGTTCTAATTTACAATAGTAGAAATAAATCAAATCCCTAAAATCAAGGGAAATAATATATCTTCCAACACTCCCCCTCAAGCTGGAGCATAGATGTCTTGAATGCCCAGATTGTCAAGTGCCAAATTGAAAGTCGTACTAGACACTCCCTTTGTCAAAAAATCTGCAAGTTGATGTTCTGTCTTCACAAACGGAGTGAAAATTAATCCACCTATCAACTTCTCCTTGATAAAGTGTCTATCCACTTCAACATGTTTAGTACGATCATGCTGAACTGGATTGCGAGCAATGCTAATGGCAGCTTTGTTATCACAGAAAAGCTTCATTAGATCCCTAGAATTAAAACCCAGCTCCTTTAACAAAGCCTTCAGCCACATCTCACATATACCATGAGCCATGGCTCTAAATTCTGCTTCAGCACTGGATTTGGCCACAACAGATTGTTTCTTACTATGCCACGTGACTAGATTCCCTCCCACAAAGGTGCAGTATCCTGAAGTTGATCTTCTATCTATTACACATCCTGCCCAATCAGCATCTGTATATCCTTCCACTTCGAGATGACCGTGGTTGGAGAATAGCAGACCTTTCCTAGGAGCTGATTTTAAATACCAGATAATCCTGTGTAGAGCCAACATGTGTGTTTCGTAAGGAGCATGCATGAACTGACTTACTACACTCACCACATAGGCTATGTCAGGCCGAGTATGTGCCAAATATATTAGCTTCCCAACCAACCTTTGGTATCTCTCTCTGTCTATAGGTGTATCATTTGTGCATTCACCTAACCTGTGATTTTGTTCAATTGGAATATCAACAGGTTTGCAAGCCAACATTCCAGTCTCAACCAATAAGTCTAAGACATATTTTCGTTGGGAAACAAAGATCCCCTTCTTTGACCAAGCAACTTTAATACCCAAAAAATATCGTAAAGACCCAAGGTCTTTGATCTCAAATTCTTTTACCAGATATGCTTTCAGCTTACCCATCTCCTCACCATCACTACCAGTCACCACAATATCCTCCACGTACATGATTAAGGCAGTAATATTACCTCCAAATGAATGTTTGAGAAAGAGAGTGTGATCCGACTCGGTCTGGTGGTATCCATATTTCTTCATGGCCTAAGTAAACTTGCCAAACCAAGCTCTAGGTGACAACTTGAGTCCATACAAGATTTTCCTCAATCTGCATACCTTACCTCTTTTAGAGGAATTAACAAAGCCTGTAGGAAAGTACTTGTATACTTCTTCCTTTAAATCGCCGTGAAGAAATGCATTCTTCACATCAAACTACTGTATTGATCTTCACCACCGATGCAAATGTTTACTGATAATTTATCCCATAAGTTTGGGTATAATCTTTAGCTACCAATCTTGCTTTGAACCTCTCCACTGAACCATCTACCTTATGCTTCACTGTGAATACCCATTTGCAATCAACTAACTTCTTTCCCTTTGGTAGCTCAACAAGTTCCCATGTAGAATTTTTCTATAAAGCTTCCATTTCTTCAATCATGGCAGATTTCCACTTGGGGTTGTCAACAGCTTCCTGTAACTTATTAGGGACAGACGCGGCTGATAACTGGTTTGAAAATATTTTATGAGATGAAGATAAACGATGTGAAGACACATAATGAGAGATGGGATATTTTACAACTGCAAAACCAAAACGAGAGGAAGGTTTTCTTTCTCGAGTGGGATAACGTGTCTGATTCTCAATAACTAATTCAGTAGCATCATGTGGTTGATCAATAGGTAAATGAGCGTCATTAATAGAAGTATCAACAAAGAGTTTAGAGGAAGGAACTACCTCAGGATTACCAATCACAGGAGCGCTTAATTGGGTAGAATGTGAATAAGATTTGGAATGGCATGTGTTCTGGATAATGTCTAAAGAGGAGTTTGAAACTGAAGGACTTTGAAGGCATTCTACTAATGAGATATGCTGCAGTAAGGACAACATCTCCCCAAAAAGTTTTAGGAATGTTCATAGCAAAGAGTAATGACCTAGCAACTTCTAAGAGATGGCGTTTCTTATGCTCTACTACTCCATTCTGTTGGGGTGTATCAACACACGAAGTTTGATGAATGATGCCATGAGCCTGAAAATAGACACTAAGCCCTCTATTAAAATACTCCCCTCCATTATCTGATCGTATAACCTGTACTCTCATGTTAAACTGGGTCAAAACCATTTGGTGAAAGGATTGGAAGGTGGAAAAAACATCACTTTTTTCTTTCAACAAATAGATCCATGAAACACGAGTGCAATCATCAATAAAGGAAACAAACCATTTAGAACCTAAATGATTGGGAACATGAGATGGCCCCCACACGTCACTGTTAACAATTAAGAAAGGCACAAATTTTTTATTAAAACTTGAAGGAAAAGAAGTGCGATGGTGTTTGGCTAACACACAACTATCACAATGAAAATCAGAAACATCAATTCTGGAGAATAAAGATGGAAACAACTTATGCAAATAGCTAAATGAGGGGTGTCCTAATCTTTTGTGCCATAGCCAAATCTGCTCTTCTGATGTTGACCTGCCAACAATTTGATTTGCTTTTCATTTCGAAGCCCAGTTCATATCCAAGTAATACAAACCACCTCTTTCTCTGCCAAGACCAATCTTCGCTCTTGTAAGAAGGTCCTAAAAGACACAATGAGTATTAAAGAATGTTACGGAACATTTAAGAGCCTTAGTAATCTGACTAATGGACAATAGGTTATCAAATAAACATGTAAGACACTAGAAAGAGACATTGAAGAAGTAATTGGAATGCAACCTTCCCCAGACACAATAAAAGTAGCATGTGTCATATGATCAGTAGTACCTGAATCAATAATCCAAGATGGCTCAACACGACCAAAAGTGTTCAAGGTTAATCCAAAGTTACCTGTATTGGCCAAGTTACATGAAGCCTCTTTTGAGGATAGCTTCTGAGCATACTCTTGCATCATTTTATCTACCTGAGCTGGAGAATATTGTGGTTGGGCTGCAAAAGAAGATTGTGCATCAGACTGCACATCAAAGGTTGTATGATGTGCTCTAGAATTTGAGTTATCTCCCTTGTTTCCACGTTTCTTACGGAACCAGTCTGGATAACCTTTCAGTTTAAAACAAGTCTCTTGAGTATGTCCAGCCTTATTACAGTGTGTACAAAACAAGGACTCTTTGTTCTCAGGTTTCCTCGAGCGAGAGGTAACCAGTGCAGTTGGAGTCTGCATAGTAGCCAAGGCTGAACTCTCCTATGAGACACCTGTAAGCATGGTGGCCTGACGGAGCTCCTCACGTCGAACATAGGCATATGCACCGCGAAGATTGGGAAGAGGATCATGCCCTAAAACCTATACTCTGATCTGATCACACCTGGGTCGAGACCGGTTAGGAAATCGTAGACCCTTTCATTCTCAATTCTCTTCTTTAGCTTTGTTGTATCCCCAACACACTCCATATCACATGGTTGGAGAAAAAATCCAGCTCCTGCCAAATGGCCTGCAAAGCAGAAAAATAGCTAGCCAATGTCTTCCCTTACTGTCGAGTCTTAATTGCCCTGCGCCTCAGTTCATAAATCTGAGAAGCATCACTACCATCAAAATAGGTTTGAGCCACGACTTCCCAAATAGCATGAGCTGTGGGAAGTCGAAGAAAAATGGCGCTAATATCCGGAGTCATTGAGTTAAGAAGCATGACATCAACATGGCATTCTCCTCCAACCAAGTAGAGAAGGAAGGTTCAATATCCGCCGGTTGTTTCTTCACTTCAGTCAAGTACCCCAACTTTCCCTTTCCTGTGATGTACAACTTCACAAACTGGGACCAGGCAAAATAATTCATCCCATCAAATTTGTAAGAAGTCATCTGCACACTCATGTTATCAAGTTGATTTGTCACAATCCAAGGAATGGGCGGTGCTGTACTAGAATCAGAAGATTTAGAGGTAATGACAGACATATTTCGATGTCTATGGTGTTCAAAATCAAGGCTTTAGGGTGTTCTCCAAGACAATTGCATACCAAGAGAACAAGAATAGGAGGACACAGATAACAGGTCAGCGGTAATCGCTCAAACCCGTGAAACTTTTCTCTCTTTCTCACACTATTGCTCTGATACCAGCTCTTGGGACGCATTCCCCTTTTGAACACTTTCTAATACATTTTTACTTATCAAAAAAAAAAAAAAAAAAAAAAAAAAAAAGATACTATGTAGAAATTCTCTTTGTAAAATATTCTGCCTCATATATTAACTTAACATCTTATACAAGTATATATAGGAAAGAGGGAAAGTTATACAAGGAAAAGAATAAAAAATATTCCTACAAATTTGTTCCTAATTTAAAGCAATCAATCTATCCTATTTTACTGCAATCATTCTGTCCAACAATCTTGTTCTAATTTACAATAGTCAAAAATCAATCAAATCCTTAAAATCAAGGGAAATAATATATATCTTCCAACAAATACCTCTAGGTAATCCATTGAGAGTTGTAATCTCCTCTTTTCTTGAAACAAAGTTAGTTGTTCTTCTGCCCGTGGAAGTAGTCAGCTTGAACTTGCCGAACCAAGTAAATCTTGTTCTTGGTTTGTGTGTGTTATTTCCATTTTATTTTCTTTTGTTGCCACTGCACATTTGTTGTGTGAGATCTTGGGCGGATTAATTCTTAACAACCTTATTCTTATAATTGAGCCATTCTAAAATGGGCCACTGGGGGAAAAAGTTAAGAACATTGTCATAAAAGATTGAGTAAAGAATAGCTTCTTTCAACCATGTACTCTGACATGTTAATATATCATTCACATACTCCATATCTAGGAAAACCAAAAGAACAAATATCAGATATACCCAATACCTAGCAAAATGTCACGGGCCTAGAGATTTGGCGCAGCGGCACGGCCCGTGCGGCACCAAGGCGTTGCTTCAGCTCGCGCAAGCGCCCTGGTCAGCCACCACGACCTGCCCTCTCAAGGATACATGCTGACTGGTTTCGGCCTGCCATGGCCTCGTCAGGGGAACGGCTCCAGCTCCCGACCAGTTTGTGCAGGGATGGCCAACTCCCTTCTTCATAGTCAAGTCCACGACCAGCGACAAGCACCTCGAACTGAACCGAGTCGACCTGCCTGAACTCTGAAGAGGTACCATCCTGTGCTCCTGCACGCCCCTTCCCTGGAACCATTCTCAGTCAAACTCTGCTCTTTGCCAACCAGCATGCGTGTCTTCCATCCTCCAAGCGTCTTAGGAATCACTTCGTGACATTCTCCCCCACCCAAATCCTGCGACGTCCTCGTCGCAGTGCGGCGCTTCACTACTGCGTCCACTCCCTTCCAAAGTCTGCCTCCATGCAGTATGCTCGCCTTCCCACCATCGCTTCCTTGTGCAGCTCCCTGCACTGCACTCGCCCAATGATAGGTCTCGGACCAAGGGGACGTCCACTCCTCAAGGACGTGACTCTTCTCCGTCATGCCGCCACCGCGACATCCCGAGCAAGCAATGGCCTTCTGCCGACTTGATGCTCGCCCTTCACCATGGTTTGCATCACCCAAGGACTAAGCACGAACTTTGGTGCGCGCGGCCCTCCGGCCCTTCAATGCGCAACTTCAACGGACGCCTCTTCCTGGGGAGATGGAGGCTCTCCCCCCCAACTGCATTGATTCCTCCACATCGACGCAACTTCAATGCACCGTCTTCATTCTCTGACCCCTCCCGGACCGACAAGGGGGCACCCCACCGTGCTTTACCCCAAGTCCTGCTCTGATACCATTTGTCACGGGCCTAGAGATTTGGCGCAGCGGCACGGCCCGTGCGGCACCAAGGCGTTGCTTCAGCTCGCGCAAGCGCCCTGGTCAGCCACCACGACCTGCCCTCCCAAGGATACATGCTGACTGGTTTCGGCCTACCATGGCCTCGTCAGGGGAACGGCTCCAGCTCCCGACCAGTTTGTGCAGGGATGGCCAACTCCCTTCTTCATAGTCAAGTCCACGACCAGCGACAAGCACCTCGAACTGAACCGAGTCGACCTGCCTAAACTCTGAAGAGGTACCATCCTGTGCTCCTGCACGCCCCTTCCCTGGAACCATTCCCAGTCAAACTCTGCTCTTTGCCAACCAGCATGCGTGTCTTCCATCCTCCAAGCGTCTTAGGAATCACTTCGTGACAAAAAGCTGTAAAACAAAAAGAATAAATGTCAAGCAAACACCAATTATGCATGAACCTAGTGAACCAAAGTCCACATGCTAATAAAAAATATAACTGGCACTAAACAAAGAAATCAAATTTCTGCATTGGACTTACTGAATATAAAAGTCAATGATTGTGTCGTTGATGAAGGTTGCCGGCTGCAATAGCTCAATGTCCCTCTTACATATGGAAACTGCATCAGGATCCCCTTTTGGATAGATAACCTCTTCGAAAGACTCACCAAAACTGAATTAAATGAAAAAAGGAACACACAGAAGAAAAAAAACAGGCTTAAATTCCAAAGGATATAAGATAGCCAACAGATTGAAGAGTATAAACCAGGATTCATATAGCAAGTACATCATTGTTGAATGCAAAACACTCAAGCAATGAGAAATTACAAACCACTTGGACTGTTACCCCAACAACTAAAAGTTTCAAATTCATTAATACCATACCACCAAAGATAAATTATTGTGTTATTATCACTCAAGAAACTTTTTAATGAAAAAATTATATATAAAAAACCACGCATGCGCTAGAATCGCATGTGTAATTCATAAACCTAAATGGCCAAACAAAAAATTAGGGAACTCTACTTTACCAAGCCTTCCCAACTTTCTTTTTTTTTTTGGTAAACATAAACAAAACAAAACACTTCTTTTGTTCTATTAAGGAAAAAAAAATAGAAAATGGAAGTGATTGCCAAACAAGCCTAAACTTTCAACAATTTGAAGTTTGACGATGAAGTTAGAGGGGGAAAAAAAAAAGATAAATTCAAAAAAATCGTTAGAACAAAGAAAACATAGAGACACCAATAACACCTGGTAATACAGCAGCGTGCCAGGTGTTCTATGCATGGATGGCAAAATGACCTTCCCCGTCGGTCTCCACCCTGCCTAGCTCCATTTGGTATGGTTTTGGGAGATGTCTAATAGGGTTCAAGAGAATACAGGGTGAGGGAGTGAAAGCCACGTGTTTTTTAGGCAGGGACAGGGAAAGGTACCCCTGCCCCGCACTGCCCCACACAGTATATGATGCCATATTAATTTTTTTTTTTTTTGTTTTTTTTTTTTTTCATAAGTAAAATTGTATTAGAAGGCATTCAAAAGGGGAACGCGTCCCAAGATCAGTACAATAATGAAGAACAAAACAAAAAAGCAGGTAAAAACAAAGTAAGGAGGAAACCTATGGACCTAAAGACCCCAAAAAATCCATGATTTCCTCTATAGAAGAACAATCTCTCCCCAAACCCCAACAAAAAAGAGAACAAATGATGGAGTACTTTAAAGCCCCAATGGGTAACTCCTCCCCATCAAAGAATCTTCTATTACGTTCTTTCCACAAACACCACCAAATACACAGAGGAGTTGCCCTCCAGAAATCACGAACACGGATCCCCACCCTTTGCCCCCTCCCAATATCAATAAGTCCCCGTGAGGTCCGAGGCATAACCCACTGGATGCCAAAAAGACCCAACATAAGGCCCCAACAGTCTTGGGCCACTAGGCAGTGCAGGAGCAGATGATCCACAGACTCACCATCGGTCATACACAAACAACACCGATTGACAATGATATGCCGTCGCTTCCTCAAATTGTCCCTGTACTTTATTAAACTATATATAGTAATTCAATTTCTTATCATATATGGTAATTGACATTTTTTATACTCTTATGTTGATTTCTCACATTACTTTCCCACTTTGGATTTTCTCTAATTAATAAATTAACAAAATATTGAATACAAATTTTTTCAAGGAAAAAACAAGCAAAATCCCTTCACAAATACTTGGTATTGAATACAATTTTCTTTTTGGATAAAATATATATATTGCGTGAGGCAGGGTGAGGACAGGGCTGGGGTATGAGGTTTTTGGCAGGGATGGGGAATGCTATGCTAAATGGGGATGGGGATGGGGAAGGAGTCCCCCGCCCCGTTGTCGTTCCTAGTTGTACAACACCTAGCCAATTATTGTACGGCAAACATATAAGCTGTTGTGAGTCCACTTAGGTGTCGTCTGCACTCCTGAGGTGCATGTGGCACCTGGGCTTTGGTTCATTTTCAAAGTACGAAATTTGATTTATCGGTTTTTTAAGGTCCGTTATTTGCAAATGCGGGTCCCCTAGGTCACAAGAAACCACAAACTTTTTAAAATCTTACTATGAACCCAATGGATGACCTGGGGAATGTTTGGATAGAATTTAGTATCAAACCTTGCCAACACAGATGACCTTATGATTTATGCATGTTTTTAGTCTCGGGAATTCAGGTTTAAGGTTGAATCATGTTTTTTCTTGTTTTTCAAAATCTTGTGATTTAAATTTATTTTTAGTTCATATTCATGCTTTTTGTTAATTTAGGCCAGAAATAATTACTGAATTTAGTTTTATAACGTCTTACATGTTTATAATTGATTAATATCATTTAGGGTGAGTATTTTTCATCTATAGGTTTTACATGGTAACTAGTTCACTTTCTTGTGTACCTTATTTCGATTTTGTTCTTCTAATTGTTCAATCTTAATTTGCATGATAAATAACCATTGTGGCATGTTTTAGACTTGAGACTGAGTTTAGAAATTTAGAACTATATTTCACGCAAAAGTTTATTTATGAGTTTATAGCTCATTTTAATCTAATATTATATGAGTTTATGGATTCACATACCCACTAAATTTTATCTATTTTCACATTGTCTATTTTGATGAACAAGGATGATTTAACAACGACAAATCTTTCAACTTCTCTGGTACCAGTGACGTTCCCATGATTTACAAAATCAACTATAAAAGTCAAATTATATAAAATCACAAAGTTGAGTGTAGCTAGGCATCTCATTGCTATCTAACCAATAATAATACAAAATATACCAACATAAAGGTTTGCTGTAAATCGAAAAGAAAAGATAAAGAATGAGAAACGGCATATGAGTAAAATTGATATTGAATGTTAAAACAAAGCTTTGTGATGTATCTATCCATTTTGAATATTCCAATAAGAAACAAATTTTTTTTTTTTGGAAAGTTAAGCAAAAACAAAATTTCTGTCAACTGGCACGCAACAAAAATACTTATTTCTTTAAATTACTTAGACAAATGATGCTTTCGAGAGAATATGCTTCTCGGCTCCAAGCAAACATCCTCACTCCTTGTGGTATCAATGCTATAAAAATAACATAAGAAATTAATTAATAGAAACACAACACACGTAAAACAAGATATCATTTATTATTATTAAAACTGATGATTATAGAGATTTATTGAATGGGGCAATAAGGTTCCCAAAGCACCACAAAAATAAACAAGATGCTTGGGCCTGCGGTAGATCACGTCACTCAATCATTCCTAACTAAAGCAAACAGAAAAAGGAACAAGTCTTCTTACTGTAGTAAGGACGACCAGGAATACTCCAATCACCGTTGAAGCCTAGATTTCTATAGGGAAATCTGTGGGAAAGCCTTAAGAATTGTTATAACTGATAATAACTCAAAATATATTGATAAAGACTTTATTACAATTGATATAGAGGGCTGTTCCTTTTATAATAAGACTATTAATGACACTTACTTCCCCTAGAATGACTTTTAGAACTCCCACACAGACTATATCACTTTCCTAAGTATATTTAGTAATTCCAAAGCTTAATAAAATAAGGAGGACTCTTTGACTTTTCTTCAAGGCACCATTGATTGCCTCAATCCTGACTAAAGTACCCTTATTGATTTGCAGCAGACCCTCCTCCTTGAAGAAAACTCGACGTCGAGTTTGAAGCAATTTACCACGATCAAATAAGAACCCGAGTAAAGCCTTCCATCCTTACTCAAACAAAACACACTAATCTGCTCTTACTGATAAAGAATCTGATTTTCAGATCTCTCTTTAGAAATTTAGTAGATTTCCAACACCTGCTTGAACAAAAAACAGGAACCAAGGCATGAATTAATCCGATTTTTGCATTGGTACAGCATCTGGCCATATATTGCACCAAGAATCCATCCCAAATCAAATCACGAATATGGAATTCATGTTTTTTCAACTCCATGAACAAAGAAGATTTATTTCTAAGCAAGTAACCTTCTACGGATGTTTTTTTTTTCTAATGAACCCCTTACCATTGGAAATTCAATGGTTTCATCTTCAAAATTTTCATCTATTTGTCTCTCAACGAATGTAAGTTCTGAAATTTCTACGTCTTGGGAATCAACTTGAGATATTTGAATCAATTTCTTCAATGGTTCCAACTTTCTCAACTGAAATCCACGATATGCAGACTTAATAATGACAGCTGCCTCAACTTCTGACAAGTTGTTAACTGTCTCTTCATAATCCTCTCCATTGTTGTCAAATTCTGAAAGTGAGGATGTTGAATGTACTCCCAAGATTTCATTTTCTTCGTCCACACATCCGAAAGAATCATCAAAGGTTGAGCCGGTATCAACATAGTTCACAATATCTTCCTCAATCAAGAATTGATTTTTATCGATAATGTGACTGTTTACAACTCTTGCGCACTTGGCAGGCTTGAATCTTGAATCCTCATATGTGTAGGACCAAAATTCAGGTTCCTCAATACGTTTCACCATTGATGTCCATGTGTTTTGTGATCTGGCAGTACTCTGTTTTGGACTTCCAGACAACTTGTGCTGCTGATTTCTTTTTCCAGTAGTCTGTTCTGTCCAATATTCACATTCATATGCATTCATTTGCTGATTCCTTCCTCCCCAACTGTCCAGATTCAAAGGAGAAATTTGTTCTAATATAGCGCTCAATCTAGAAATTTGATGTTGCAGATTTTTTTCAAGATTTTGAATGTCTTCTTTTGTGGCTATCGTGCTTCCTTGCCTAGCCATAGATCCGCAGTAATCACAGATCTTAAATCAAGGCTCAGATACCACTTGAAGCAAACAGAAAAAGGAACAAGTCTCCTTACTGTAGTAAGGAAGACAAGGAATACTCCAATCACAGTCGGAGCCTAGATTTCTGTAGGGAGATCTGGTAGAAAGACTTAAGAATTGTTATAACTGATAATAACTCAAAATATATTGATAAAGACTTTATTACAACTGATATAGAGGGCTGTTCCTTTTATGATAAGACTATTAATGACACTTACTTCCCCTAGAATGACTTTTAGAATTCCCACACAGACTTTATCACTTTCCTAAGTATATTTAGTAATTCCAATGCTTAGTAAAACAAGGAGGACTCTTTGAATTTTCTTCAAGGCACTTTCCAAGGCACCGTTGATTGCCTCAATCCTAACTAAAGTACCCTTATTGATTTGCATCACTAACCCAAAACAGTCTTGTGTGACCAAGCCAATGTAATAAGAACTGCCTAGTCAATTCCACCCATTTTATGATGCAAGCAGAATTTCAAATTTCTGCAAGTGGAATTTGTGTTTTTCAGAAACTTTTCATATTTTGAAAGTTTCCTTATTTTGAGTAGTTTTCTGATTTTCATCAGCTTTCCTTTTTGAGTAGTTTTCTGATTTTCAGCAGCTTTCCTATTTTGATTTTATATTATATTTGTAGTTAGCTAATATAAGGCTAGGATTGGGGAGGAAGAAACTCTATATAAAGCCTTGTGCTAGGGTATACAGTTTAGTGAATGGATTATTATTTTATAGCAAATAAAGTTTGCTTTGCAACTTTGCAATTCTCTTTTCTCTAGCATTATTCTTTTATTTCGTTTTAATATTGTTGTGAAGATGATTTGATCGTATCCTCTTGGTAAGGCGGCATCAGTTTGGTATCAAAGCTTAGGTTTCGGCTTTCCAATTGCTCAATCATGCCTCCATGACAACTACCAAGAGGAGGAAAACGTAGGATGCAGGTTCCGGCTGAACCCTTACCCAAGCAACACAAAAGCGAGATAGAGTTTTTGCGGAGACAAGTTGAGTTGTTGACTCAACTATTGGGTCAACGCGTTGTCAACCCGCCGGTTGCTGACAATGTTTCGGTGGATAAGGATGTGTTAAACACTGAGACTATTGCGAGAAATTCGTTCTATTTTTCGCGTCGCCATAGATCACTCAACGAGTAGACTGATCGTTATTGACCGACAGATATCAATTTTCAGATTTCTGTTTTTCACGAGGATAATCTTGAAGAGGATTTTGTTAATCCTTTTTGCAGCAATACAACACCTATTTTATTTGATGAAAGGCGTTGGGATGGTGACTTTAAGGAGGAAATTCCTGAATTTGGAGGATATCTTAGTGGAGAAGAACCACCACAAAAAGAAGAGGAAGCTACTTTAGTATCATTTGTCATGAGTCGTGTATAGGAACCACCACACATGGAATCATATGAGTCGTGAATATCTATGGATTGGAATGAATTAGCGATCTTTGATAAGGAAGTTACAAAAGAAGAATCTCAGAATGGAGGATACGTGGTTGATGATGAAGCTTCTAGATCCATGGGGATGAAAAATAATGAATTTCACTTTTATGACATAATTTGGGATGAATTCTTGGAGCGTACTACAACAGCTACGCAATTGTTGGAAGAAAAATTAAAGTTGATTACACTTGTACTTCAAGATACATGTTCCACCGAGTTTTGCAAACCTACCCAATTTCAAAGGACCTCTAGAAAAATCCATGTTTATTGTGCGAGTGTATTCTTTGTTAGTATAAGAAGATTAACGTATTTGGTTCGAGTGCAGAAAAGAAGAAAGAAGGGATGGAAAGCCATGCTCGGATTTTTTATTGATCGTGGAAAATTGTTCCAAACTCGAGGGCGAGTTTTTTCCAACACAGGGAGACTAATGCTAGCAGAATTTCAAATTTCTGCAAGTGGAATTTGTGTTTTTCATAAACTTTTCATATTTTGAAACTTTTCATATTTTGAAAGTTTCCTTATTTTGAGTAGTTTTCTGATTTTCATCAGCTTTCCTTTTTGAGTAGTTTTTTTATTTTCAGTAGCTTTCCTATTTTTATTTTATTTTATATTTAGTAGTTAGCTAATATAAAGCTAGGATTGGGGAGGAATAAACTCTATATAAAGCCCTGTGCTAAGGTATACAGTTTAGTGAATAAATTATTATTTTTAGAGCAAATAAAGTTTGCTTTGCGACTTTGCAATCCTCCTTTCTCTAGCATTATTCTTTTATTTCATTTTAATATTGTTGTGAACACAATTTGATCGTATCCTCTTGGTAAGGCGGCATCATTTTACGACAAAAAATCTATTACCAACTCTATTAAAAACCCAAAAGCTTCATTGAATGTCAAGCGCAATACTAGATAGACTCTAATACTGACGGCTGCTACACTATTCGTTGGCCAAAATTAATTTAGAAAGAGACTAGGAAAAACTAAAGTGAAAAAAGCACATAAAGAAACAAACCCTGTACAAGATATGTGAGAACCCAGAATACTAACAGTTATAAGCTAAAACAATTATGGAACTCACTCAAAAATAACATTCCATATGGCTTTGTATCTCATATTCAATGAATTGATCTCTTCCTGTATGTTGGACCAGTGCGGGACTGCAAAATTCAATACCGCAGTTCCTGCATCAGTTGGTAAAACAAAGTCAACATGTAATAAAATATTGGCTAGAAAGGACAATTCTGCAGGGATCTAATGGTATTGTGGAATCTCTGGGGGGAAGCATGTGAGGTCGGCTGCAACTTGCAAAAATATATGCTGATACAATTGTTTTTCTTCATATTGGGCAAATAGCTTCTATCTTCTCCAGGGTTGTAGTAAGACTTGGATGTAGTGAACAGTGATCACAGTCTCTACCTTACTTCCAGTTTATACCAAGAAGTCTTCCAAAGCTTTTTATTGGAAATGCAAAGATAACAGTAAGAAACCTTCCAAACTCCCTTGCTTTCTACAACCCGGGAAGAAAGCCCCCGCAGATTCGCCAATGCTCATCGTAGGATCGATCACATTAGGCAAATCAGGGTTGACGGCTCTATGTTGAGCAAGGAGGAGGAGGTGGAGATAGGAGTGACCTCATTCTATCAGCACTTATATGCGGAGACCTCTCTTAGGGGGTTTGCAGTTTGACTCAATATCTATGGAGGATAAGGATCATCTGAAGAGGCCATTTGAGGAGGAGGAGGAGGAGGAGGTAGTACAGTGGAGACAAAGCCCCGGGTCTGGATGGGTTTTCCATGGCCTTTTTTCAACAGAATTGAGAGGTGGTGAAGAGGGAGATCACGATAGCAGTTCACTTTCTCTGTTCGCATGGTCAGTTCGAAAAATCTTTGAATGCTTCCTTTATTGTGCTTATTCTGAAGAAGGGTGGTGCCATTAATATCCAGGATTTTAGGCCTATTAGCTTGGTGCTTATAGGCAAAATCCTAGCAGCAAGGTTGAAGGAAGTTCTTGGCAAGATTATTTCAGTGCCCTAGAATTCTTTTGTTGGAGGGCACCAGATTCTGAATTTTGTCTTGGTGGCTAGTGAGTGCGTGGATACCAGATTTAGTAGTGCTGAGCTGGACTGGTTTGTAAGCTTGATGTGGAGAAAGCTTACGACCATGTGAGCTGAGACTTCTTGACTTATGTTTTGGAGAGGATGGGGATTGGTGAGAGATGGAGAGGTTGGATTCAATATTGCATCTCTGCGGTGAGATTCTGTGTTGGTGAATAGTGTTTCCTCTGGCTTCTTTGGTAGTTCGAGAGGATTGAGGCAGTGGGATCAATTATCGGAGCTGGGCTACCTCAAAGGCTTCAGGATTTGCGGAGATCCCCTTAGCCAGTTGGAGATCTCTCATTTGCTCTTTGCAGATGACACCGTTATATTCTATGACGTCGATGAGAGTCAGTTGACATACCTGAGACACCATTGCCCTTTGCGGATGACACCATTGTATTCTATAGACCCGTTCGGGTTAGAGGGCTAGGCGTGAGGAGATTAGACTTATTCAACAAAGCTTTATTGGGGAAGTGGCTGTGGTGGTTAGGGGTGGAGAGACATGGGTTGTGGAGGAGAGCCATTTGTTGTAGATATGGAGAGTCCTGAGGCGGTTGGTGCTCTTTGTTGAGGCAGGAGTAGGCTTGTGGAGGGTATCCGGAAGGGTTGGGATGAATTCTCCAAGCATATCCGATTTAGGGTGAGGGACAAGCGCCTCATTAGCTTCTAAGAGGATCCTTGGTGTGGAGAGAGGTTGATTGCGAGTGTGCTTGGGGTGGTTGCCGTGTGTGCCCCCAAGTCAGAGACACATGGAGGACGGCTCCTCTCCGTTTGTGGTGGGCTTTATGAAAGGAGACAAATAGGAGATCCTTTGATGGGGTAGAGACTCCTTGGGGGGGTGTTCAGATATTTTGTCCCTAGTTCTCTATTGTTTTGGGTTCAGGGCTCTAATTGTAAATCTATGGAGATTCTTCTGTCCTTTGTGGATAGCTTGAGGCTATAGTTTTTGTGCAGTTTGTTCTGGGCTGCATCTACCTTTTGAACGCTCTTTAAAGAATACTTACTAAAAAAAAACAGAGTCCGCCATCTGCTTTAAGTAGCTCGCAAGCACACCTTAACAGTACATGTATGCACGTTCCAAGGGAGTTTTGGGGATAAGTTGTTTTAACTGTTTCCTTTTGTATTCTATTCCTGTACCCATTACTATTAATAAAGTTGAAAGAATAGACAAAATGGACTACTCTCTTGTTGATTACATTTATTAGTAAAGTGAAGAGAACAAACAGAATGAAGTCTGGACTCTCTTTTCAACCATTAACTATCTTGGTCACACCTTGAATTCTGAACTACAATTCCTTACTAGTTTTTATATGCTGCCTACGCCATTATAAAATAATTTGACAAAATGAACTCTGGACTCTCTTGTTTCAACCGTCAACTTCTTCGCTTCCTAACCCATTATTATTAGTAAACTTGAGAGAATAGACAAAATGAACTCTGGACTTTCTTGTTTATAACTTATTATTATGACTATCTTGTTTTAACCATCAGTCCTTCTGCTGCTGCAACATTTTCAACTATCAAATTTTGAACACAACATATATAAAAAATTTACCAAAAGAAAGCCAATTTACATTAGAAGTAGTCCACTAATATGGTAATGCGACTCCTACAAAATCTCCTGTTAGAGGAAAGGAGCAAAGGAACACTTGGATTTGTGGATTCCTTCTAAACGAGATCGAACAAAGTTGTCAAAACATCTTCATATTCCACAAGTAACATCAATACTTCCAAGTTCTTCACAGGAATATCTAAACACAAGAAAACCTCCCATAAACCAATTAGGTAAACTTAACCAATAGATGCTAAATCTCAACCAAAATCTTGGGGAAAATCCTAAAATCTTATCTTTGATCCACGAACCTTTCAAATTAAACACTAAATGAGGGGCTGATGAGTATCGCTAGAAGATGGATGGTGAGGGGGCTGATGAGTATCACCAGAAGATGGAGGGTGAAGGGGCTGATGAGTATCGCATAAGATAAATGATGAGGGGGATGATGAGTATCGCATTAGATAAATGGTGAGGGGGCTGATGAGTGGGTTTGGGTGGCTTACTCGTAGGGGAGGTTCAAGGTGCTTTCGTTGTATAGGAGGCTGGTGGGGGCTTTAAGGGTCTTCCTTCCCGTGGAAGGCAGAGTGGTGCACCAAAGCTAGCTCTGAAGGTAGCATTTTTTTGTTGGACGGTAACTCTGGGGCATATTCTGATGATAGATAACCTAAGAAGCACAAAGCAGGTTATTGTGAATTGGTGCTACATGTGTAAGAGGGATGAAGAGTCAGTAAACCATCTTTTCTTGCACCGTCCTGAGGCTTGGGATTGTTGGCCCTTGCTTTGGGTGTGTTCGGTGTCCAGTGGGTTATGCCTTTTTTATTTTGCCCATGCTCGAGGCTTGGCATGGTTGCACAATGGAGGGCCAAGTTCATGATGCTTGGAGGGTGGTTACTCTTTGCCTTTGGTGGGGTTTGTGGAGAGAGAGAAATAGGAGGTCTTTCAATGGTGAGGAGACACCTATTGTGGTGCTTAAATTCTCTATTGTTAGTTCTTTATTGTTTTGGTTTGGGAGGAATTATAAATCTCTTGGGGAGTTCATGGCTTTTCAATGTTACTTTACTTATCCAAATAAATAAATATATATATATAAATTAAACATTGAATGACACAAATTTGGAATAGAGTTGGTGGAGACAAGTAGACAATGGACTTTTTAGTCTCCAACTATTTGAAATTTAAGACAACTGACAGGCTAATCCATAATAGCATCAAGGCAAACATTTTACGAAAATAAACCTACCTGAAGTTCCATCAGAATTTTCTGCGACTTTTGCATCCTTCGACTTTAGATGAAGGTTCACATTATCAGTTTCAACCTAAAATCAGCAATGCAAGAAACTTTACATTATTCAAGCCAGTATGTCAAGTTTGCGTAAGAAAAGGCAGTCGCAAGTCACCTGTCCGCACCAATGTGACTCAATTTTAATGAGATCATCAATAGCCCATTCAAAGCTAAAATGTTCCTTGATTCCACATAAAGTTGAACCCTCAAGTTTAATGCCACAGCAGGAAAAACTTAACAGACACTCTGTGCAATTCAGATCTCCATAAAGAATATGATCAGGGGAAACAAGAACGGTATCCTGCAACTGACAATAAATTGAAATAGCAATGAAAACAGGATTTCCTATTAAAATAAGCAAAAAGAGAACAGTCGACAAAAAAGACATGCCAAAAAAAACTGCATGAAAAATAACTGTATAAATAGTTCGATCCCAAATGCAATAATAATGTAACTTTAAATCCAGAGAAAGTAATCCACTCAATTTCTCCTTAGAAATACAAAAATTCGATGGCAGTGTTGTTAAAATTATTTGAGCTGTCAATGGATTTAAAGTGACTCTTGAGTGAGTAGGCGATCGGGCTATGGGCATGTTCCATTCTATTGATGAAAGGTGGAAGGCGGAAGGAAAGAAAAGGACTCCTTCCGAGAAATGGGAGAGAGGGGTTCGCAACCTCATCTCTTATGTCAACTACAAAGGAATGAGGAGGAGAGAGAGAGTGGCAGAGGGAGGAGGAGGGGAAAACTCTATTTTGTGCTCATGAAGTTCCGCATCATTACATGGAATGCTCATGGTCTCAATGACCCGGAGAAAAGGAAGGTGGTGAGATTTGTTGTTCAAAAATGGGGGCGCATGTGGTGTGCCTTCAGGAAACGATCCTTGCATCGAAAATGGGGGCGCATGTGGTGTGCCTTCAGGAAACGAACCTTACATCGAAAATTGTGGGAGATTTGTGGACCGGGTGGTGTTGGATGCTACAGGGACTTTGGGAGGCATTCTTGATGTGGGATAAGAGATGGGTGACCAAGCTGGAGCTGTGGATTGGGAGATTTTCTGTGTACAACACGTTCTCCAAAGAGGAGGATGGCTTTCAGTGGGTCTTTTCTGGTGGTTATGGCCCAGTTGAGCATGGTGAGCATCATTTGTTGTGGAAGGAGCTTGGCTCTGTTTGGAGGAGGTGGCCTTTTCCATGTTGGTGGAGACTTTAATGTGTCTCGTTCCACAATAGAGAGATAGCGGGGGAGAGGTGGACCAGGCGATGGAGCAGTTTTCAGACTTCATTGATGATTCCCATTTGATTGATTTTCCGTTGGAATGAAGTCTTTCACTTGGTCCATTCTCCTACCTTGTCTCGCCTGGATAGATTCCTTTTACCCAGAGATTGGGAGGAAAGATTCCTGAACGTGGTTCAGGTGGCGTTGGGTACAACCACTTTGGATCATATTCTGCTGGTGTTGGACTATGGTGGGCTAAGGAAGAGGAGTTGGCTCCAGGCTGAGGGCTTCAAGGAGAGAAAGGTTTCTTGGTGGGAGAGCTATAGGTGAGTGGCACTCCAAGTTTTACTCTTGCGGGGAAGTTGCGCCTTCTGAAGGAAGATAATAATAAGTGGAATAAGGAGGTGTTTGGAAACTTGAAGTAGAGGAAGAACAGAGCTTTGACGAAGATTGCTGAGATTGACCGTATGGAGGGTCTGGAGACCTTGACGAGGTGTCGAGACACAGGAGGGAGGAGTGTAATCTCGAGATTGCTATTTCTGAGGATATTTCATAAGAGGCAGAAATCTCGAGCCTTGTGGCTTAAGGAGGGTGACAAAAACACAGGGTTCTTTCATAGGCTTGTGAATGCCCAATCATGTTGGGAGGATCCGAGTTGACGGGGAGGAATTGTCTAAGGAGGAGGAGGTGTGCAGAGGAATTGTTTCTTTCTTTCAGAAGTTGTTCATAGAGACCTCTAGTTGGAGACCTGTGCTTAGGGGGTTGCAGTTTGACTCGATAGCTGATCCGGAGAGGGAAGGTTTGGAGAGGTACTTTTCTGAAGAAGTGCTAAAAGCTCTGAAGAGTTGTAATGGGGATAAAGCCCCAAGTCCGGATATTTTTTCTATGCAAATCCTTTTTTGGAATTGGGAGGTGGTTAAGGGGGAGGTATTGGGCACTTTCCATGATTTTCGTTCTCTAGGTCGGTTTTGAGAAATGCTTAAATGCCACTTTCACTACTCTTATCCCTAAGAAAGGGGGAGTGGCTGATGTTAGAAAGTTTATACCTATTAGTCGGGTGGGATGCATCTACAAACTTATAGCTAAGGTCCTAACTTTGAGATTAAGGGAGGTCATGGATGGGATTATTTCGGACACTTAAATGCTTTTGTTGGAGGTTGCTAGATTTTTGATTCAGTCCTTATCGCAGGTGAGTGCGTTGATTCCAAATTGAGCAGTGGGGTTCATGGGGTTGTGTGCAAGCTTGACATTGAGAAGGCTTATGAGCTATAGGTGAGTGGCACTCCAAGTTTTACTCTTGCGGGGAAGTTGCGCCTTCTGAAGGAAGATAATAATAAGTGGAATAAGGAGGTGTTTGGAAACTTGAAGTAGAGGAAGAACAGAGCTTTGACGAAGATTGCTGAGATTGACCGTATGGAGGGTCTGGAGACCTTGACGAGGTGTCGAGACACAGGAGGGAGGAGTGTAATCTCGAGATTGCTATTTCTGAGGATATTTCATAAGAGGCAGAAATCTCGAGCCTTGTGGCTTAAGGAGGGTGACAAAAACACAGGGTTCTTTCATAGGCTTGTGAATGCCCAATCATGTTGGGAGGATCCGAGTTGACGGGGAGGAATTGTCTAAGGAGGAGGAGGTGTGCAGAGGAATTGTTTCTTTCTTTCAGAAGTTGTTCATAGAGACCTCTAGTTGGAGACCTGTGCTTAGGGGGTTGCAGTTTGACTCGATAGCTGATCCGGAGAGGGAAGGTTTGGAGAGGTACTTTTCTGAAGAAGTGCTAAAAGCTCTGAAGAGTTGTAATGGGGATAAAGCCCCAAGTCCGGATATTTTTTCTATGCAAATCCTTTTTTGGAATTGGGAGGTGGTTAAGGGGGAGGTATTGGGCACTTTCCATGATTTTCGTTCTCTAGGTCGGTTTTGAGAAATGCTTAAATGCCACTTTCACTACTCTTATCCCTAAGAAAGGGGGAGTGGCTGATGTTAGAAAGTTTATACCTATTAGTCGGGTGGGATGCATCTACAAACTTATAGCTAAGGTCCTAACTTTGAGATTAAGGGAGGTCATGGATGGGATTATTTCGGACACTTAAATGCTTTTGTTGGAGGTTGCTAGATTTTTGATTCAGTCCTTATCGCAGGTGAGTGCGTTGATTCCAAATTGAGCAGTGGGGTTCATGGGGTTGTGTGCAAGCTTGACATTGAGAAGGCTTATGATCATGTGAGTTGGAGTTTTCTGCTCTACTTGCTGGAGAAGATGGGTTTTGGGGAGAGGTGGAGGAGGTGGATTGAGTTTTGCATCTCCATTGTTAGATTTTGGGTCTTGGCGTACGATGCTCCTAATGTTAGCAGTTTGTGGGGCTTAAGAGAAAGGGATCCGTTATCTCCCTTTTTGTTTCTCATTGTGATGGAGGCTTTCAGTAGGATGATGAGGCAGGCAGTTGGTCTGGGTCATATCAGAGGCTTCAGGGTGGGTAGAGGCTCCTCTAGCCAGCTCGAAATCTCCGTGGTTTCCATTGTGGTTGGATTGATTTCTTCCAATAGTGTTTCGACGCTATGTCATCTCAAACTCTACTTTACTTTATTTATTTTGCTTTGTAGGTTGTTTAAGTTATTCCGGTAAAGTTAAAATAGGCGAAAATCGGGCAGAAGTGCGAATTGGACCTATTCACCCCCCTCTAGGTATTTTTCAAAAGTTTAATTCCGTAACTATTCTGCGTAGCGCAATTCACAGTAGCTACCAAGGAGTCTAATAAAAGGAACCCTAACAACTAACTAAGTTCTACATTTCTACTCAATTCCTTTGCAATGAGTCAGAGGTCAAGCCCAATCTTCATAAAAACTACCTAACAACTAACTAAATAACAGCACTGCAAGACTGAAGTGTCAATAAACTGAAAGACAAACTGCTGCATAAACAGGTCTATAATCTAAGTCATGGCCCCCATGATAATAATTCCATTAAGATTATAAGGACTGCTTTTACAGCCTCTTAGACGAGCTGGTCAGAAGAACACTAAGCTAATAGCCTTCTCTAGAGCCTTTGAGAGGCTCTGTCATCAAAGCTGTCTCAGTTGGTTCTGGGAAAAATTAAAAAACAACTCAGTTTGAGTAAGTGCGCCCAAAGGCATTTAGAGTTCCTGGAAACCTAATATTATGATTAGACTGCAGAATTTGTAAATGACACGTGAAAGGAGGATACATCTTTTCAAGTCGAGTTTTTATGTTAGCTGATTCTTTGTGATTCTTTGTATATAAATAAATAAAAACAACAACAACAATAATAATAATGCAATAATTTCGTTTGCATCTATTTACGAGTGCTCTTTGTAGAGCCAAATCCAGTTTGAGAGAATTTTTGGGTCTGGGTCTGGGTCTGGGTCTGGAACCAGAAGTGGTAGTTGGTGTAATACCATTGCAGATGGGCCCGCCGCCTGAGAATTAGAGCAAGAAGCACTCTCCCACTCTTGAATGGTAAGTGGTTGGGAGGGATGAGCCGCCTTGTTTTCCGCAAGAGATCGGGGGACAAGTTCCCCCGAGCCTCCCCCATTATGTTATTAATGATAACATTACAGTTAAAACAATAATATAATAATATAATTATTATTAATGATAACATTACATTTGATTAAAAAATATTTGGCGTTCATCAGATCTGAGTCCTCTTCTCGCTAATCTAATGTCGGAGCAACCTATACCTTCCTAGAATATCCTCTGTATCAAAAGTGATCTTTCAAAAAATTCTAACAAATAATCTTTCATTTATATAAGAATTGGTTCGTTCAAAATCAGTGCGAGTTATGCACATCAAAGTCATTCTGTCAACCATCTTCATTATCATTTTCCATTCTCTACTTATATTTGGACACAATTCCTTATTAAGTTTAGTGAAGTGCAGGAGATGCAGAAATCCATATGAATTTCAGATTGTTAGTAACCCAAGTTTTGGACTCAGAAGACCATATCATGTAGAGATGCCTCCATTAACAACTTTGTGAGTTTTATAGTAAGTGGAGAAATTATAACAATCAAATTAGTGCAGTTTCTCTTGCCATTCTACTATAAAGGTGTTGATGTGGGTTTTGTTGTCAAAGAGTAATGTGGAGGCGTCAGCCACAACATGGCGGATGTACAACAAAAGGGTCCAAAGTTACCGGCCTAGGTGGAGGACCAGTAGAAAAGATTGAGCTTCTCTAAATAGACAAGGGGATAAACGAGAGAGACCCGCTATGGGTTCTGTGAGGAAATCCTAGAGTGGAGCGAGGGGCGAGACCTAAGAGGGGCCACCCTGGGGTGGAGCAATGAGAGAGACCCGAGAGAGATCGTGGTGCTTGGCCGCAATAGATGGAGAGGGATAGCGAGTGTCGAACCGTGATGAAGCTGGCGGAGATGAAGGCACTATGACACCAAGCCGCGATGAAGGGGTGAAGGAGAGACCAATCTGCCAAACCATGGCATGGTGGAGGAAGGCACCGCGACGCTATACCGCAATGAAGATGTAGATTATATATATACGTATATAACATCATGCTTTATTCAAAGATCCAAGGTGGACTGAGAGGTGGAAGCTCAGGCAAACTTGAGAGAGAGAGGGAGAGAGAGAGAGAGAGGACGGCAGTGTGCAAGTTCACCATTGACTCCCTTGGTGAAGGTTCAGTGGGTGAGGTGAGAGAGCAGAGAGAGAGAGAGAGCACTTCAAGTGTGTAGGTGGTGGTTCCTCAATTTCTCATCTTTTCTGCCTTTGGGGTGTGTCTTTTTATAGGGTAAGGGTGGGTGATGTCACGCTGAGTTTTATTATAATAAAAAATAGGAAAAGAATATAAAGTGATGGGAGACAAGGATAGGGTGTGGATGGGGTATATGGGAGTCAAATGGTCTGTCTCTGTCTCTCTACAAGTCAGATCGAGGACCACTTGATGGTCCCTAGACTTTAGCCATCAAACCAAGTACCTGCTGGGATCCCCAAAATCACTGAGTCCTGCTCCCAACTCAGGTCTTCAAGTCTTCCGTCTTCTATTCAAGGATTAATGACGTGGCGAACACCACGTAACTTGTGCATTGATCACTTGACTTCTGTAAAGCGGGACCTTTGTTGATGAAGTGACAAGTGACACATAGTATAACACGTTTCCCATGTCTACAAAAGGTTTTCTCAAAGTTCATATTCAGCCTTCTCATTATTTCTGCATGCACTTTTCTTTTGACACATTTTTCTGTTTGTGAATTAAAATATCATTTGCTAAAAAACCCTAATTTACTGAAGTTATTAGTTGATTAATTCAGGAAAGAAAAAAAAAAAATTTATCATCTGATTAAAGAAAGCAGTCACATATGCTTACAATATTATTTCCACCAAAACCATCCTCCAGAACTTGCTCATCTGACGGATCTGAAACAAGGATGTAAGTTGTAGCTATGATGATTAATAAAGAAAAAAATAGTAAGAAGATGAAGACAAAAACCTTCATTTTCTGCAGTATCACTGACAGAAGTTGATGAAGAACTCAATTCAATGCAGTCGTCATTGCTTGGATTTATACGAAAAGGCCCATTCTGCAAACATTTCAGATTGAAGAATTACTGAGTGCGTCCAAAATTAACATCTATAATCCTCAAAGGATAAGTAAAATGGAAGAGTCTTATACATCAGATGTCCACTTTTTGAAAGCACCATTGCAAGTTTCCATGACTAATGGTTCATTGCTAGAGTCCTTCTGTCCTGTCTTTAATTCTCGTGCAACTAGAGAGGAATTGTAGAGCAGAAGGTTACATGTTAAATATTGATTCATTCTATGCAAGCAAGCAGAAAGACATGACGAAAGCAGCGATATTAGACCAATAAAGAAAAAACTTGAGAAGCTAAGAGACATGGAAAGCGAAAACAAGGACCATGTTGTGGAGCTTGGAAGGAAAAAAAAAAAAAAAAAGTTCCAGCATTTCATGCATCATTATAGTTTGCTGTAAATATAATACCATTATTCTTTTAAATTTATAAGCCTCTTCACTAAAATTCTTAATCATTTGCTAAGTAAGTAATCAAATAGTTTTGTTACAAAACTTATGTAATATTTCTACACATTTCAAATCAATTTATTGTATTATATATGCGAATCACACTTTATACAAATTGTAGCAATTTCAACACTAAGCATAAAAAACAAGTATAATTCTATAGTCATTGTAATGAGCCTTCAAAAGTATGAAAATATGTATAGACGTTTATATTATAAAAAAAGGCATTCATTCTAGGTAAAATGAACAGCAGATCTGATAAAAAAAAAAAAAAGTGATTAAGAAAATAAAAAAACAGAACTTAAATTTCTTCTTCCTATGGTAACGTATCTTTAAAACAGTAATATTATATTTTCCGGTAAACAAAAGACTAAAATTCATTATTCTCACTAAATGCCCAAAGAAAGTAGGTATTTGTGTCGCATAAATCGCGTGTATGGTATCTTATAACATAGCAAATGATACAGTCATTATCGGACACATATCAGTGATAACTATCTCTTTATCTCTAAAATGTATAGTATGTATCCATATGTATCAGATAATGTGTCTTGAGATTATGAACCCGTTTGCAATTTTTGTTCAACCAATTAAAAGCACTTTAAAGATAATCTCTTAAATGTGTTGAGTAGCCAAAAAAAAAAAGCACTTTTAAATGGTAGAGATGTTAGCTCATTAGAGTTTTTGAATAAAACTAATCTTTCTGGCTTTTAGAATTGCATCTGAGGCAATGATTTATATTTTAGGTAACCATTTTTTTCCTTTTCCTCTCTCTCTCTCTCTCTTTGATAAGTAAAATTTCTTAGAAGGCACTCAGAAGGGGAGTGATCCCAAATACAACTACAAAAACCAAAAACCTATACCCTCAAGCTATCCAAAAAAAACAGAAGAATTTCCATAGATTTACAATTCCTCTTTTGAATCCAAACGAATAAACAACTAAGCACAGAATATTTAAACACCCCTATAGGGGTCTCCTCCCCATCAAAAGATACCCTATTCCTTTCTCCAAAAGAAAATAGCCTTCCAAGAGATGCTTCTATCACTTACTCCTTTAACACTTCATAATAAAAATGCACCCATCTTCGGCAATCTCCACATCAATTAAAACAATCTCCATGCAACAAACCAAAGAAAGGGTACCAAAGGAAGGACACATAGTATGTTAGTCTGACACATCTGAAGGAGATTCAAGCTCATAACATGTGCAGGACTGTTTACAAAATCAGCATTATATCCACAAACAGAACAATAATTTACTGTCTTCACCACATATGCTGCCTCTGTCCTCTCTTGCTACCTAGTCTTAGCTCTCTCACAATCCTCAACATCCCCGGAGGTTCCCCTTTATACCAAAGATCGAGATGAAATTCATCCTCACACATAAATATCAACCCAGACTCCAGCCCACATAATCTACTAGGTAGAAGCTATTGGATTTTCAATATTCACTAATGTGGCTCTCTGTCACATGGACAGCACTGTTAATAATATTAAATAATAACAATTCTAGTTACTTTATCTAAATAGCTTTCTTGTCACTTTGCAGTATCCTCATAATAGGTATTCTTTTCAGCTAACATTTAGACAGAATTCTCCACATACCCAGTTCTTTCTTTATTATCTATCAGTTAACATTTTCTCCACAAAAAAAAATAATAATAATTATATATATGCCTATCTCAACAAAGTGTCACAACGCAATACAGTCATGCCCATATGCGGCAACAAAATCGAACTGAACTCAAACCTATATGATTATGATCACAACACCAATATATCAATTTTTCAAAGGAACACTACATCAGATTGTCAAAACATACTATAACACTATATCTATAATACTTACACAGTTACACACATGTATGTGTGTATGTATATAGAAAGCGTTAGAATCTTGAGAGTGAGAAAATTAGGGTTTTGAAATGGTGACGTACAGCATTGAAGGAAATCGTATTTCGTGAGTGCGGAATCATCGGATTTAGGGTTTCCGAATTTCTTGAATAACTTCGCTGATTCCTTTTCAATTTGCTCGTCGCCTTCATTGAACTCGTAGACTTTGAATCGGTTGCTTGAACTCGTCGTCCTCATTTTCAGGAATCGATGAAAGAGGTGAGTGATTCGAATGCTTCGAATTTTCAGGGGGGGAAAATGCTTCAAATTTTCAAGAACTACTTGAAAGACAGGGAGAGCATCTTAAATTTTCCAAATAAAATTCGTACTAATGCATTTATTGATTTTTTTTCTTCAATTTGCTTAATCAGTCTATTTTTGCACTAAATGTGGCATTATTCTTTTTTATAACTACTCGTAAATTTTGAGGATTTAAAATACATCAATTATGCCGTTCACACTTGAACTCTTTATTGTTGTAAATATAGGACAGAATATGAAAAGAAAGAAGAGAGAGAACTTATTTATTCATATATTAAAAGATACAATTTACAGAATACTCAATCACACACACACGTGGTAAGTGTCGCCGTCTAATGAAGCAATCAATACATCCACACAGACCTTCGTCCTTCTCTCTCATTTTTTGCATTCCTTACAAATTCGGTAAAGTAAAGACTAAGACTAAATAGACAATTTCGTACAATAAATAAGGGCTAAATAAACAATATGCCGGATAAATATAACACATATCATATCATTACACAAATGTACCATATTATTGCACACATGTAATACAACTTTAACAGTGTGCAGTTACTTTTTTTTCACCCATTTTTTAAGCGATGTGACCGTTTCTCCTCCATTCATTCCAAAATGGAGGAAATCGTGTACTATGCGACTGGAGGTGATTTTCGGCCCTGCATACACATCACTAAACTAGTGGGATATAAACACATCAATGGACCAATGGTACTTCATTATATACATCACCAAACCAATCACAATTGTTTACTTCAAGAAAACATTGTTTGGTGCCATCACTGCAATTGCAAATTGCAAACCACAATTTACATACTTGTGGACCCCTATATATAACACTCCTCCTTGGGATCCACAATATTATACTAAGAACATGCCTCATTAAAACCTTGTCAGAAAAATCCATTAGGACAAACCTGAGCGAAGGAAAAAGAATACAATATTCTTGTGTGTCTGAAAATAATATTGCATAGGTTAGAACTGCCTCATTAAAACTTTGTCAGGAAAACCTACTGGAACAAAACCTGAGCGAAGGAAAAAAGAGTACAATATATGTCAATACCTTTTCAATTAAATACTTCCCCTCATTAGTGCCAAAGATCTTTAAGTTGTCGCATTCCAATGTTGTGTACCAATTTCTTGAACGTCATGGATGGCAGTGCCTTAGTGAACAGGTCTGCTAAATTTTCATACAAACGTATTTGCTTAATATCAATTTCATTATTCTTATTTTATGTTTGTACAAATACCCATTTGTACCCAACAAGCTTTACACCCTCAGGTGTTTGGACCACAGATCCAAAGACTTTTCATCTAGCTAATACAGTTAGCTCTGCATGTATTTCTCTTTTCCATGATGGCCAATCATGTTTCTATTGACTTTTTTTCGACATTCTGAGGTTCTGGATCCTCGTTATTTATATTAAGAGCAATTGTATAAGAGAATATAATGTCCATGAAAATTTTATTTTTGTTCCATTTCTTTTCATAATTCATTAAGATATCAATATTTCTAGGTACCTTTGCAACATTATCATAGTTAGCTAACTTGGCCTCGTCAGGTCCTTAGGTCTCGTCAGGTCCCTTTGCCATATAAAAGGCATATGTTTTATCAAGGACAACTTTTTTTTTTTTTGGAAGTTAAGGTGTAATCAAGGGCAACTTTATCACTATTAACTAATTAGGTCTCTTCAGAAGTACCATTTTTCATTATTCATCTTGCTCTTTGGCATATGTCTTATTTTATCACTTTTAGCTAACTGGGTCCCTACACGAGCACCCATTTCATCATGCTCCTTTGCATGTACCATATTAAGTGTCTCTGCCTCATCATGGGCTACTTTATCATTGTTAGCTAACTGGGGCCTCATCAAGAGCGCCCGTTTTATTAAGCACTTCTTTCTAGTGCTTTTCATTTTCATGGAACAGAATCTTTTGTACCGACTGGTCTGCTACGCTTTATGCATGCTTTATACATTTGCAACGCTGACAAACTATCCCATCAGATGTTGTAATACCCTTAATTTTAAAAAGATAGTCCTGGTATTTTAATTAATTATTTAATTACATTTTTAATACTTTTATTGTTTATTTGCTTGTTATTTGCATTAATTGGATATTTAATTATATTTGTTTGTTTAATTAATTGTATTTGTTTGTTAATTGGTTGCGATTTGATTAATTGTATAATTATTTGTTTTATTGTTAGTTATTTGTTTAATTGAATTTAATTAGTGTAATGGTTAATTTAAATGGAATAAATGGCATTAATTGGATTAAGTTAGGATGGTTAATTAATTAGGGTTTTAGTCAGTTGGGGTTCTGTATTAGCCGACTTAGTTTACGGATTGAATTATTTTCGTTTCCTTCTCGTATCATAGTTAGAATTAGGGTCATTACGTTTTGGCTTAGGGTTTTAAGCACAAAACACAGAAACATAAACCTAAATTTTGTTCACGTAAAGGGAGGGTTGAAAGAACAGAGACACAGTTAGGGTTATCAAGGAGGAAAACATAGAGGACCAAGGAGGTGGATTATGGATTAGAGCCGAAGCGGTATGTCACGGGCCTAAAGATTTGGCGCAGCGGCACGGCCCGTGCGGCACCAAGGCGTTGCTTCAGCTCGCGCAAGTGCCCTGGTCAGCCACCACGACCTGCCCTCCCAAGGATACATGCTGACTGGTTTCGGCCTGCCATGGCCTCGTCAGGGAAACGGCTCCAGCTCCCGACCAGTTTGTGGAGGGATGGCTAACTCCCTTCTTCATAGTCAAGTCCACGACTAGCGACAAGCACCTCGAACTGAACCGAGTCGACCTGCCTGAACTCTGAAGAGGTACCATCCTGTGGTCCTGCACGCCCCTTCCCTGGAACCATTCCCAGTCAATGAATGTTCTTAGCCAACCAGCATGACTCATGGCGTCGTTAGGAATCGGATCGTGACAGGTAGGAGGCTTAACGGTATACAGTATTGCCGGAAACTTAGAGACAACGCCGAGATTTCATAACTGAAATCACAGGCAAGTTATTTTCTTCCTCTCTCCCGTTGGCTTGTGTTCTGTGCACTTAGATAGACTTTACGGGATTAATTGGACATTAATTGATTCTTGCATGATTATTATATGTTAAATTTACTTATCTATTGTCTGTGAAATTTATCTGAAATAATTCTCTCATGTATGGAATTCATCGTCTGTTTTTAGCATAACATGTCACTACTATTTAATCATTGTTATGGAGTCTTACGGTTATAAACCAAGGTCTGGACTGATACTAGATGAGATTTAAGACCCTTAGGTCCAATTTAGATGAAAAACAGTAAGGCTGGAAGCGGCCGACGGAGAAAACTGGATTAGAGGCTCTCAGAGGGGGAGAGAGCCGGCTCCATGCCTTAGAGTCGGCTCCAAGACTCATAGAGCCGGCTTCATGCACAAAAGAGCCTGCTCCCAAAGTTATGGAGCAGGCTATCTCAATTTTGCCTTTTCTAAATTTGTTTAACGCACTGTTTTGAGACTGTTGAGGGTTTAAACTGTTCGGATTAATTCTGGGACTTCACAGAGGGGTTAAGTAGTTAATCTTGGGTGTTATTAAGGCCTCTAATTGATTAAGCTTTACCTCTAAGTTAATGGGATGAACAATATAAAATTAAACTATTTGTTTATGCTGTTAATGGATGGAAGGAAATAAATTGCTTGGATTAATTTTAGCAATTTAATGGGATATAGTATGATTATAAAACTTATTTTAAATGCATGATAGGGTCATTTATTTATTAGTTTTGATCTATGCATGCTATGGATGCTAATTGTTGAAATATTAAACCTTTTATGCAATTGCATGGATTAACGCTTGGGTTTTAATTGCTGAAATATTAGATACTCTTCTGCAATTATTTGGATAATGGTTTTGGATTGTAAATTGCTAAACTATTATTTATATGTTGTAATTTACATAGATATTGAGGGTTGTATGCACCGGTATGGGACGGTGGCATACTAGGGATGGTTTAGCTCAAATGCTAAGACTTACCCTATTGGAGGAAAGGATTGTAAAATATTGAATTCTAATTTTATTTAAGTCAGATCGACTGAGTAAGTTGAGTGACTATCTGGATTAATTGTTGTTTGTGGTTAAGTCAGATCGACTAAGTAAGTTAAATGACAACCTAGATTTATTGTTATTCGTGGTTAAGTCAAATCAACTGAGTAAGTTGAATGGCTAACCGGATTAGGAGTCTTATGTTAGATCAACAAAGAATTGAATGACATACTCTGGTTTTGGACAGACTTTATATATATGATTATGGTACCACGATATGAGCTTGAGTCTTAGAGTCGATGGTTAGGGCGCGTATATGTAAAGACCCTGGATTTTTCAACCTAGTGCGTCAGTGATGACCTGAAAGTTGACCCGATAATGGATCCAAAATGCGGAAGCGGAAGGTAAACCAAAGTCTTTAGAGATATTAATCATCCCTAAGACACCAATGTGACCCTCCATGAAGTCACGGAACTCAAAGAAATAACCGGAAGCAGAAGTTAGAATGAAAAGAATCAAATGGTAACTTGTGGCACAGATGACAACCAAAGGAACAAGATCTAGTTCAAATTAGACCATGTGCACCATTAAATGGCTTAAACAAGGTCAACGAAGTTAAGTAGGAACAAACGAAACGATAACAGCCTGAAGAAACAACAACCAAACAAAAACCCACAAGACAGCTCTATTTCGGTTGGTTGAAATAGAGCTTGGGTCAACCGAAGTGAGCCAAAAGAAGAAAGGAAATGGCTCTTCATTTCGGTCGACTAAAATGATAAACCGATCGACCGGTTTGTGGCTCGGAACTAAAAATGGCTACTAAAATTGGAGTTTTACTGTTCAATTGAAAACCAAAGAGCATCGGTCGACCGAAACAAGCCACCGATCGACCGAAACAGGTTAAAAATGTGAAAATGAACTCGCTATGCACTAACACTGAAAAAGAGACTTTAAGTCTCATTTGAATCCCCCATGGTACGACCAAATTGCATTATATGCAAGTGTGTGATGATGTGAACATACACACAAGTGTAATATGACATTTTGAACATGTTACAATGGCTTACGGCCTCATTACATTTTATTTACAAAATTTGACATGCCAACCATCCAAAGTTAGAAAAGTTACATTTCAAAGGCAAAACTTGAAGTTTAAATACATACACTTGAACTTAAAGGTTTG